AAACAAAAAAAAAAAAAAAAAAAAAAAAAAAAAAAACACCAAAAAAAAAACCCAAAAAACCACAACAAAAAACCACCTTTTTCTATAGTGGAATGAAGATAGACCACAGACTTCCAAAGGGAAGAGGATCTTTGATTTAGCCAGTGACTAGTTCCCTGTCTTAGAATTTAAGTCCGGGAAGAAGAGAGCGGCACAGGGGAGAGGCGTAAAACAATTCTGTTTCAAGTTTGATTGAGGGAGATAGGAGAAGTTTTATATCTTTTCTTCGCAGTTGAAATATTTCGCTGCTTTAAATTGCTCTTACTTAGATTTGGAGTGGTTTTGAACACATCAATTATTTCATTAGTGGTAAAATATGAATACACAGAAAAAAGTATGGAGCTAACATAAAAATTAATCTGTATGGCATAGATAAAAGAATAAGCTACTTATCATATGCATTACGGTTAAGAATATTAATTGAAACACAAATCAACGTACACAGTAATTACATGGACAATGGTCATATGTCTACCTGGAAGTGTACAACCTATTTTTTTTTTTTTGACTGGTAAAAAGTATTTTTTTTTTTGACTGGTAAAAAGTATTTATCAATGATTATAGTGTTCCTAAATCATGAACTTGACTCTGAAAGGATTACAGCTGGAAACATTCAACAGACATTTATCAAAGTCTCCCAGTTTTTTAAGATAAAAAGTGAACATGAGCTCCATTTAAAGTATAACCCAAAACAATGCCAGACAGAAAGACAGCACGTTAACTATGTAATAGGCTTAAAAATAACTGTTTAACAAATTCACCACTTAGCTAGAACAGAAAGCTGGAAAATGTTTCTTGCTTATACTTGGTTTAAGTTACAATCTTGGGGGAAAATAAACCAACTGACTTACCATTCATTATCCATGGCATTTCAAAGATCACTATCTTCGCTGAAAAGGTAAAGAAAAGGAAATAATCTGAATACTAAATGCATGCATTTCTCTGCTTATCATGAAGTGCAGCAGTAATAGTCATGTAGAAAGAGGAATATATATATATATTTGAAAGTGTCACATTTACTTCCTTGCAGAAGCCTTTGTTAATTGGTTTTTACTTGCTATATCTATTACTACAGAAAGACAGTAGGTGCTTTAAGTGAAAGACAACAAAAATGGCAGATTCCACAGTTTACAGATTTCTCTGGCTTACTACTTTTCAAATAACAAGGAACTAAGGGATAAAAAGGTTCATTTGATTTTATGTTCATAAATATATACACAACAAATTCTTTGTATATCATGAAAAGCCAGCTGATTTTGGATGTATTGTAAATAAACTTCAGATCTGAAGTTGTGCTGATTCTTACAAGCACAAACATATTCTGAATCTATAGCATGCAGTTCAGCTTTATCAAAAAAGTCTGATCTTCTGCTATGGTTGAAACACTAGATTCCAAAGACAAGTCCTTAATTTATTTCCGAAAATGAGATAAAGTGTATGCAAAAATATTAATAAATAAACTCTCCCCCATCACTAATGATATTCTTAACTGCTCTTGTTATACAAGTCTAACACTGTATCTCACATGAAATACTTACTAAGGAAGTTTGGATAATAGTCTGTAAAACAGTTGACAATAAAACGAACAAAGTCCAAGTCCTAAAATAAAAACAGAGTAAATAACCTAAATCAAAATATTAGAATACAAATTAGTTAAAATAAAGCACTTGAGAAACAGTGCAAAAGCAGTGACACTGTTATTACAGCCAGATTTTGTAATGAATGGTAACACAGCAAAGGGCAAAAAAGACATTGTATGAAACAGATATATACAATACTGTGAGGCATACCTTACTACAATACTTGAGTGAGGTGGAAAACCATAAATACTTCTATTTTCCCCGGCACTTCTAACAGAAATGACCACAACTACAAAGGAGACTTCCAGAGACAGAACAAAATGTATTATTGATAGAGGACCTAAAATCCTCTCATAAGAACAGCACAGTGGACAACTGACTTCTGAAGTGATATAAACACTCTACTAAATACTTACAGATAAAGCAATAAAAAAAACAAACAAACTGTAAGGACTGTCAACAAACTGAAAGCCTAATTAGTAGCTTCAGTAATTATAAAGTAGCTGAAAGCTCAGATATCTCTGGAGGCAAAAGATAGCGCTCTGCAGAAGTATTTATCTCAACTGGTAGTTGCTTGTACCAAAACAGTATTTATCACTTAACAGCAATAAACACAGTGATAGATTTCCAAGTAATGATTAGAGTCTCCTGTGCATTAGCAAGCACACTGCTCTCACTTCTGCTGTGTACCCAAAAGCAATACTATCAGCTATAAGGAGGTTGGATCCATTATTTTGATGAAAGTCCACAAACAAGAATTTAGATGTGAGCAGAGAATTTAATAACTGCATCGACTCTAGTTACCTGAAATGCTGCAACAAGGCATGAACCATCAGAATTACCTGACTGCATACCAATGAGAATAGCTGACATATGAGATGAGGCTACATTAACAATGGAGCAAACAAATGAAAAACCTTCTGGAAAATAGATTAAAACCTCAAGCTGTTTTAGGATAAAATCTATCAAGTACTCTATGTGGCTACCAACTGATATTAAAAGAAATCCCTAGCAAAGTGAGACTGTGCAATGGAAGACTTATAAACAGCGCTTGCTGAGATTGTCTTTGGGAGCCTCAAAAACAATAGAGAGAAGCTGAATTCATGGAGAATTCTGAATAAATATTCCGAAGAAAGAGAAAATCGAGGAGGCTGTGATTTTTTTTTTTTTTTTCCAAACATAAGGGAAATAATAGACTTTTGTGTTTCTGTTATACAAAAATACACATTGCTGAACTAGCATCTTTTGGGTATGGATAGACAGTTCTCAAATCAGAGGTGAAAACACCAACTCTGAATCGAAAAACTTAAAAATGAAGTCTTGCTATTGTTATCCATAACAGTTGATAAACCAAACTGGTAAGTAACTACTGCACAGGAATCATTTTGACTCAGTCATTTATCAAATTAAAAGTTTTCAGTGTACTACATCAAATATAATATGATACGCAAGAGCACGTAATATTAAACAAATTTTAATATGCAAGAAAGAATTCCAGAAATTGCTTATGTCACAGGAACAAGCCCTACTCATTTGCTGTAACTGCTACGTTACTTAGGTTTAAAAGACTGCACAGATAATCATCTTCTGCTATGGAGAAACACAGAATCACAGAATTGCAGTGGTTGGAAGGTGCCTCAAGAGATCATTCAGTCCAACTAAAGCAGATACTCTACAGTAGATCAAATAATTCAAAAAGCAAGCAGGAAAAAAAAAAAAGCAATAAGCATACTTACTATGTGACTGATTCCAGTTTCAGCCATGTCAAATACCACCGTTAAGGGCTTTCCATGATCCCTCTTGGCATAATGCTCTAACCAGAAAGCTACGAGTTTCTTTTTATCAAGTTGCTGTTTTTGATCCCTTACATGAAGTTTCACTTTGAACCAAACTGGTGAAAGGAAAAAGAAGCACACAAAAAAATGAACCAAGGAAGCAAAATTAATTGAAGTCATTACTTGTATAACTACATAGATGCACTGTGAAATTTACCAATGCCTCAGTGCCTGTGCTCCAACTAAAGATTCTACCGTGACACTGAACAGTCAGTGGGACAACTATATATTTTTCCTTTTTCTTCCTAACATCTTTTGTATTAAGACTAAAAGCCAAGAATTGCAGAAGACAAGGAACAGCAGATAAGGAAAACACTCTTCATGCACCTTTTAAAGACTTTTACTACTTATCAAGAAAATTAATTAATTATTTAAAATTAAATACATGTTGTCCTCGGCTATCATGACCTGTACGTTATTCCAAGTACTGCTGTGGTTGACCTTTACACTCTTTTTCTGCCTAAATTTTCTGTACTGTTGAAGTTGGCGTGTTCTGAACAGAACTATACATGCATTATTCTAAATTACATAAAAAGCAACAGACCTTCTTAAAATAAAATCAAGAAATCCAGAAGATGAGTAACATTACTTCAATAAAAGCCTGATATTTAATCTTCTGGAATAAGAAATGACTCACATAGAGACAAGTTTATCTTGTAAGAAGCTGATTTCCAAGTAACAGACTTCATAAGAATGCCTGAAACCAAATGACTGGTTATACTATGAAGTCATAGAAGTATTCAAGAGGTCCAACATGAAACACACTCATTTTCGGTACCTCTTCAACAGAAAAATAGACAAGTCCTAGAAATAACTGGAGATGCACTAACATTTTTCTCCCTGAAACCTAGAAAAGTTTTATATAAAGTAATACTTTTTTCCTGTCAATGTCTTTTACTTCCTTAAGTTCATTCTATGAATTGCATGGAAGAAAATTTTCCACTTCACATACAGACCAAAAAAAAAAAAAAAAAAAAGATTTAAGTGTAATACATTAACTGAATTCTCTAAATTTCAGAAAGATACTCTATTTAAAGTATTTAAAGCAGAACTCTCATGAAAGTAACCAACATTTTTCAAAGAATTTCTATCTAGTTTAAAATATCTACTTCTGATAATGGTGAAAATAGAGCATATGGCACAAGAAACATTTCTCAAATGCTACTTAATCAGTAACTCTTAACTACTGTACAACCTGAATTTGCATGCTGAGATATTCTCAATCGCTAACATTCCTTGAAGAAACAATTGGGAGTGGGAAATAGAGACATTAATTATCAGTGACAATAAAATAAAAATGTTATTCAATGATCTGATTTGCACGCATTCTTGTCATGAGGCAGTTCCACAGTTTTCTCAGTTTTCATCAAAATAAGTTTGTCTTATTACTTCACTTTCCAATCTCACAAAATTGAACCAACCAGTATAATCACATTCAGCTTTTTAAGTAAATACTATAAAAATGTATCATCACCACTTATCCTTGATTAGTTACCTTGGAAGACTAAACGAAAATCATGAAGCATAATACAGCAATTGTTCACAAAGCACTCGTAACTTACATGGATAAGATAAAGTTCTTGACAAAATAGACCCTTGGAATAGAAACTGTACTTTTCTGGTCACAGTACTGTTAGAAAACCAGCGGGTTAGCTCTTTAAACTCAGTTGTTTATAAGAGACAAGGCTGCAAATCTATTTTTGGATGAAAAAACAGTTTTGGCAAAAGAAGAAAAAGCACAATTTTAGATTTGAAGATCTATTTTCCTCCTGTCTTTGGTTCAAGATTGTTTGGATAGTCTACTAGGTGATTTTTCTTAAGTTGTCTTCTTTATTTTTTTTTTAATAGTTTTTAAGGTTATTTACTTTTAATTGCATGAGATGATGTAGCAAATTCAGTAACAGAAAATGATATTGCCTATATTGCCCATCTACATATAACAGTCAAGTAAAAGTCAAGAGTATTTCAGGAAATACCTACTGTTGCTCTACACATTTTATTCCTTACTCCTCAGTTAAACATACAATTCAGGATTTCATTCTCCAAGAGTTTTCAGCTGCTCACAGTATTACTGAATATTCCTGCGTCATAAGAACACACAAAAAAATTTGCAAACCACTGCAAATATGTGAGAGCTGTATGTGGGCTGTCAGAAAAGCAGCAGCAAATGAAGCTCTGCTGTTATCAACACTTACTTTACTTATATATGCATTACAGTAGATACAGAAATAATGCGCTTCAACAGAGAAGGTCAAAACTTTGGCAGCTAGGATTAAAGGCTTATGATTCTTGAAAACTGCTGAAAAAGTTTGCTTATTTCACTTCTGTAATCCACAGAAGATACCACACTGACTGAAAGTCATCAACTTCTAATCTCTTTTAGTAAAAACCGCTGCCAATACCTTCGTTCTTTTAGTTTCAAATAACTTCTTCTCCAAAACAGACGCTGCTAAAATGCTTAGAAAAAAAGTAATACAGGATGACTGATTATGTTTTGTGTAACTTACATAATTTATAGCCTTCTTTATCATATCCATGCAGAAAGAGAGCACCACTTTCAAACAACCATTTTGGAAGGACAGATTCAGTCAAATCTGCAAAGCCAAATGAAAGATCATTTCAACAATGAGGTTAATAATTACATCTCTGTTAAAAATGCAAAAATCCATCAATAAAATACAGAAGTGCCTTTGTAAGCATCCATCCAAGACATACGCAAACATAATACAAAAACGGGGCTAATTTGAGAATTTTACTATCTTCTTCCTCTCAAGCTGCACAGCAGGATTGAGGTACAGATACAGATTTAGAAGAAAGAAAAAAAAAAAATACTGCCATGTTTAGTTTTAGGCCCATATCTACAGCCCTTCATGCTTTATCCTTTTTTAAACCAGACTGTACGTTCTTGTAAAGTTCATCTTCAAAACACTCCCATGAAACAAAAATGTACACCTATTCTACCTAGAGTATCAAGCCATTGTTGCAGGTAGCAAAACATTTGACCTGTTATTTGAATTCATTAATATTTTGAGGTCCATTTTAGTTGTGGGGGAATTAAGAGGTTGAGCCCCTGCAATTACACAAAGAAAACTAAAGATAGCTACTTTCCTTCTTCCCCTTGCAAGACATACAGAAGTACAGCTTGATGATAAGAGCAGCTAAGTTTTAGAAACCCAGTTTTCTAAATTGGGTTAAAAAAAAAGAGTTACTGCTTAGTACTCCGTGGTATTTATACAATATTTAAGAGCAAGAGCCTTAAAGAAACTAGAGACAGAGGTTAGATGCAGTTCAAAAAGAAAGCAACATACATCATCACAAGAATTACATAACACAGCTTACCATTGACAGCATATTCTTTCCTCCACTGAAAGCTCTCGTCAATCATCTTCAATGTATCATCCACAACGTCATGACGCCAAATCAGGTAATTTTCAACCCATTTGTCATCTTGCTGAAGTCTTTCCACATCTCTAGAATCGTACTTATCTGATTTATCTAGCAAACAAAACAACTATTGTAAGAATATAGCATTTGCAATGCATATACAAAAAGGAGATTCGTAATGTTTCAACCCTACTAAATATACTACATATAAAGACTTTCTTCCAGTCTCATCATTTAGCAGATAAAAGTTTTCAATTATTTTCTTACGCTATCTACTGTGAAGATATTTAGAAACACTACCAGATTATTCTCAGTGGAAAAATAATTTGTGATTCTTATTCAAATTAAAAGAAAAAAAAAACCAACATCAGAAATAGAGAAGATGGGGGGTGGGGGGGAAGGGAAGTACAGTTCTTCAAAGACAAAACCAAGTTTGTCTACTTAACACGTAAGCAGGCACACAGTCTGAGTACTGGTGGGTACCTATATACCAAGAATTAGGTAGCTTAAGCTTGTGCTGTCTAACTTACAGGCATCATCACAATGACAGACCAAGAAGTGTCAGAACAGATATATAAAAATGACTACATTTGATTGTGCTTTATATATCATCACATTAGATATTTCCTTTAAAAAGGTTTTATACTTGGCATAGACTGTTACTTTAGTGAAAACAAAATGAAGCACTCAGTATGAAACAGAAGCTTCTGCTACTCTTTGCTTTATTACAACTATTTATCCCCAGCATGGTTTTTGTTGTTGCTGTTGTTTTTTAAACAGGTAAGTTTGTTACAAAAATGCCAAAGTCAACCTAGTTTTATTGAAGATATGCTTAAAGAACAACACCTAAGTTTTTACTTCAGTGTTCCTCTTTCGCCTTACAGTCTGCATTCATTGGAATGTAAATGAAGCAAGAAAACTGAAACAGGCTCCTGAAGGCAACTGATAAGCATCTCTTTGCTGATCACCAAAACACATAAGCTCACTTGAACTGGTCAGTGATTTGCTCCGTTCATTTCCAGGGTGAGAAATTTTAACAGTGGTTCTTAATTAGATGTTACTTTTGCACATAGTTGAAAATTGTTCTTCAGCAGCAATCAATTCTAAAAAACTACTTGTAGGCAGAGACATCACAGTTGAATTATTTCTAACTGCTAGTGGATGGTTTAGGGATACCTACTTCAATCAGAAACCTTAACTCAGAGGAACACACTAAGAAAAGCACATTATGTTCTGCTAATATTTTTAATTCCATGGAGCTACATGTCAAGATAGCACTTCACTGACATTTTAATTTATAGTCTCAGTTTCCTGCCACACAATCAATTTAAAATATGAGTAAGCAAGAATTTTAAATGCATCCATCCACTCAGATTGCAGCTTTATTTCTCCCGTGCACATCCTGACATCTAACTGCTTTTCACATGCATTATTCCTTAGTTTCCTCTTCTTCATTACGTTTCAAGCGTTTGCTTCCTTTGACCCCATCCCACCACCTTACCTTGTTCCTTAGCCAAGCCTAGAGTCAATCCCACTTCCTTAGTTCCCTTCCTGCCCGTCAGCCTATTACCCACTAAAAGCTCTTTCAGTTCCTTCTCTGATCATTTCCATAATCGCATCAGACAACTTGCTCCCTGTATTCTGACTAAGCACAGGTCTGAATACCCAACACATGACAGCCTGAAATGCTCTTCAACTTCTCTGTGGATCTAGGTCAGCCACAGGCAGAAAAAGTTGCAAAGATTTTGCATATTTAGTTCTGCAAAGTCTAAACTGCTTATTTGAAACTTTATTATTCCTGAAATGATTTACGATTTGGATACTTTTGCCTGAGAAAGACTAACAGTATTTAGTTTCAAGTTAGAATAAAAAATAACAACAGAGAGAAGAAAGGTGACCTCAGGAACCAACCCCAGCTGACACCACAGCTATTTTGCAAATTCAAACAGGTCACTAAATCAGGTTTTAAAAAGTCAAAAAGGTAGAAAGACTCCACATCATCTTCTGGTGTAGCATGCACTCAGTCCAAATCCCCTTCAAAGATACTACAATATACAGTAGCTAAGCTGCCAGATCCACCATGAGCTACAGTAAAAGTAGCACTGGCTTCTCTTAGCCTTGGAGTATTAGCTATCCCTCTGCCACGGACTTATTGAATATGTCACGCTGGCTATCTGTACCATTTATGACTACTCATAGCCACAGCAAACGAGGGCTTTGAAATACTAAACACTTAATTCACATCAGCGTCACATATCTAGCACAATAACTTACAACTACTACTGCTATTAATAAGCAAAATGCTTGCCCAAGACCCATTCCATATACATCCTCTTTGTAAAGGGGATTTAAGTATTGCATAAATAAAGAAAAAAAGCACACACACCACAAAACAGAAACTAAAAGGATTCACACTGTTTTTTGAGGCTCCTTCTGCACACATTACATATTTGGGAATACAACTATCAAAAGAGCGACAGAATAGTACATCTTGTATCAAATAATAATTTAAATACACTTGCATATTTTGTGGAAGGTGCTTCATAATACTCATTTCTGGGCCACCAACAGATTTTCCCAAACTCTGAACTTACAGAATACTGAAAAAAACAGAAATTTAACTTAATTCATGCTTTACAAAACTGAAAGTAAAAGAGCGTAGAAAACATGGTATACAAACTTTTAAAGTCAAAAGCAAAGAAAGCTGGATTGACAGGTAAGGAAAGCAGAAAACTGAGTTCCCTCTCACCCTCTTCAGCCACTAAACTCAACAAGGTGGCACACAGTATGAATTTAATTCCAAATCAGAAGCAACCAGTCAAATTCTGCCTCCACATGCACTTGTAGAACACCCTTATTTTAGTCAAGGAAGCACAGCAAGACTTGATAGAGCAACATGAGCACTGACTGCTGTTTTAACCTAACCTGATTTATCCAATTCTCGCTAGAAAATAAATAAAATTTAGAATGAGAATGTGAATCCAAAATCGAAATGTAGTATATCACGCATAAAACAATGATTTGAAGTCATTCCAGTAATCCAGTCACTGAAAATACATCCATTTAAGGGAGGAACTGCTCTTCAAATCTCTGCATGGCTCATAACTCTATAGGCATCTGGAAACTTATTTTCAAACAACACTATTAAAAAATCAGAATGCTTCTGAATTCAAGTTAATCATGCAACATTTAAATGCAGTTACTGAATTATTGGAAGTTACTGGATTCAAAATAGAATAAACTGAAAGAAAGTAAATCCTTCTCATTCTCAAAATATAGTTTACACACATTCTGCATCACAGCAATTAGTAGGACAAAATGAAACACAAGTGGAGGAGCACTGAAATGGAAACTCAAATGGAACTATAAATTGAAGTATCTTACTTCAGATACAATCTCTAAGCCCAATCACATAACACCTGTCAACATCTCTTTATGGTTTAATTAGTTTGATGGGTTTTTTTTTGCCCCTACCAGCAAGTTAAACACTTGGCTTCTCACACATGCAGAGCTACCCCACTGAGTTTGGTCAGCCCCTACTCAGGAATGTGGGCATCTCTACCATTTAGTCCATAATCAACATCTTCTAAGGTATTTCTATTTAATCTGAAGGGAAGCAAGGAGTGTTCCAAGCAATGGTGTTCGCAGCTTCTTCTGTTCAGTTAACAAAAGCTGCAAACTCAGTAACAGCACCAAGCTTTTGTTGAACATTTCATAGCTAAGAAATGAGTCTATAAGCATGGAAGCCTGGTTTCTCCTTCAGCTTAAAGAGAGCCACCCCCCACTATCTTGCAGAGGAGCCCCACAGACAGTGGAAAAGACAAAGCAGGAACATGGCAAGAATCTTTTTCTGAGCTGCGTAGTGACTAACCAAGCTCAGATCCAGAAAAGAGAAAGCACATACTGCTTACCTAATTGGATTCTTACCAGAGAGCACTTTATATATATATATATATACACATACATACATATGTATATGTATATGTGTGTATATATATACATACATACACACATACATAAATATACATATATATATATATATATATATATATATACACATACATATATATAGAACTGGTTTAAATATATTATACAACAGTCAAAAAAGAAAGGAGAGGAAGTCAAAACTAGCTCTCTTCACAACTAACACGCCTTCAGAAAACTGAAAGAGCAAAAAGATGGATCAGATCCCACATACAACTTTTAAGGTTTCAAACTTCATGATCTTGTTTAACCTTTTTAAGAAAGACAGCAACTTCAAATTACTTCCATTTTCTCATTGAACATTTGAGGTAACTGGAAAGCAGAAAAACCTCATTTTGACCAGCCACTTCTTCCCATTACTCAGCTTCCTTTTTTCTTGTCTGGGTTCTGCAGGGTTCTGATTTACATTATTTTGGTTTGTTGGGGACACATCCTGCTCTATTAATAGGTATTGTCTTCCAGTTGAGAAAACTAAGGTCAAACTATGATTTAATTATTGTCTTCTAAGACAGAAGTCTCTATACTACTACTACAACACAAAACCACTCAAACTCCAAAAATCGTGTAAAACCAAAGAAACAAGTACTTTCACAAGACTCTCTTTTTATTTTTTGTGCAAGTTTCATCTACGTTACCAGGAGATAAAACTGCATAAAGTTTTCTTTAGGAAATTTTTAGGAGAAGTGATAGAAATTTCACAAGATTCAACAAGAATAGAAAAAATACAAGACTGGAAAATACAAGACAGAAAAAGACGCAGTACAGTTAATTTCCACACTAAGATATCCTAGAGAAGTTAATAATTTACAATCTCTAATAACTCCTCCCTCTGGGAAGAAAACCATCTAGAAAAGATGTTATAGAATAGAAGTCACATACGAAGACAAGAAGCAGGGATGGCAACTACATACCTACAATAAAAAAAAAAAAAATCACCCAAAACCACTTTGTTACACTACAGAATTGGAATAGGCATTAAACAAGCCTTTCAGTTTAACTAACACTGTTCTAAAGGTTATTTCAGTCAAGAAGCCTTGTGTCTGAAACTGTCATAATTATTCCTCTAGTCATAGCCAGGAAAAGGAAACCCACTGTTAGAAGTCAAAAGTCAATTACATGTTAAGTACTTTAACCACACAGATTTGTGCCTTCAATTGTTAAGCAAGGAAATCTGCAAGGCTGAAAGCAGTTTAAAAATGTCTGTAGCCATGCAGGGACTGAGATGAGGAAAACAAAATCACTTCCACCCAATAAGGAGCTGTTCCAATTCAACAAAATAAAACTAAAAGATGTAAATAAAATATCTGCCTCCAAAAGAGATAAGTTTGAAATTTCAGCAAAAATGTCCAATCTCAGTGATTCTAAAATTCACTTTCAACAGGAAGGTCAGACATCGGTATCACAGCTTTCTATACAAGTCTGCTTGCTAACCTGTCCATACAAGTTTCCTGTCTTACCCTTCCAACACTCCTCAGTCTTAAAGCCAAGAATCTGTAAAAACAAGTTTTTCAGAGCATAAATAAGGAAGGTATTCAAAACATTATCCTAACAGTTTTCAACAAGTCATGTCACCAAGCTGTTTTGAGAATGGCACATACACCTATAACTGTATTTGCATTTGACCAATTTGATTTAACGTTTTGCTATTGGCTTAAAGTCATGACAAAATTTAATCTTTAAGCTGCTGTGGGAAACGTCTTCTTCAAAGCTGTTTGGTTTTTTTTGTTTGTTTGTTTTTTGTTTTTTTTTTTTTTTCTGAAAATTAAGCTTTAAAGTAAAAATGAAGAGGATGCAAATAAGGAGGGAGAAGGAATACAGGCAAAAAAATATGCAAAAAGAAGAGCGGAAAAACAGAATTCTGGACTAAAAAGTTCTATCAAGATTTTATCACAAATAATTCCCATTGAACATTAAAAAGAAAATTAGTAGTCCAGGAACGACATGTAGTTTCAGTAATCCTTTAACAAGTAAAATCCACTGAAGAATGAGACAAAACTGTTTGCTAGAAAACACTGACAGTACCAGTCAGAGCTGGACAATAATCATCTTTTTTCATTGTTTCTGTCACCACCCAGATCATTTACATTTATCAGCTCTCACAAAGAACCCAAACACAGAAGAGAAATCAGGCTCCAAACTGCCAGAATAAGGCACTGTCCACTTATCACAAACAGCACTAAGAGAAGCTTCCACATGCTGAAATGCAAGGGCTTTAATTACTACTAGGAAAAACATTCTTCACATGCTCTGAAGTTTTGTCTTCAAATACAGACAGCGTTCACCATGGACAACAGAAAAAAAAGCAAACAATCAAGCAACACAAGATCTCAGTTAACAAAAAGTGCTGTTCTGAAGTAGGATTCACAGTGGCCAAGTTTTCCTTCTAGATCCCCTGAGAGGCCACAAGTTCAGCAATGTTAGCAAGAAACTTTGCACGCAAACTTCACGGAGATGAGCCACTAAGGCTCTTGTACACTATTTTCCAAACCCTATCTGACTATTAAAAGGATTCTTTTACTTAGTCACATAGATGTGACAGCTGTTCAGATGTTTAATCCAATAAATGGATTTCTAGAGCTTTCAGATGAAAATTTTCAAGGCAGAATGGGAGAAGTCAAGACTGCAGTGTTTAAGTTGGTCGTAACTTTTATGTAAGATATTCTTCCATGTATTAGTTGTGGCAGTTCATATAAGACTTTTCCGAACCATCTATAAACTTCAAAATGTTCTGCATAAATTGAAAACATTGTATTCTGTCAATGAATGACTTCAACCAAAATAAGGACTTAAGGCCCTTTAAATTTTCATTTCACAGCAATACACAGTACTACAAATCATCACAGCATAATATCCATTAGAAAATCTGCCTGCATGAGGGGAATCCAGCAACAAGAGTTTCAAGAAGTGATTCTTTCCTATTATAATGCAATCACAAAGTCTCAGGAATAATCAGGACCACTGCTTTCCTCAGAGGGAGAATAAAACAGTTGAAGCTGTAACTTCCTAGAAATACAAGCATCCTGAAAATTTTGCTCAAGCTTCAACACTTGCAGCTCACCTGAAAAAGGAATTAGATTCACTCTACAGAGGCTCACTATTCCAGAAACACACTGAACTTTCTGTGAACTTATTAGTTTCTCAGTGTACCCTGACAGCAGCTTCACTTTTTCAAGGAGACTACAATTGCTCAATATCAAGCAACCATTTGCACCTTTAGAACATGGAAAGTTGCATGGATCCAAGCCCCTTCAGAGTTCCTTTCAACTAAGAGAAAAGATTAAAAAATATATATATATATATATATTATATATGTTTTTTAGAATATGCACAATAAAGGTAGGAGGACCATAAACACACTGAAACTTTGTGGTTTTCATTCTTTAAATGGGTGTGACAACATTAATTTGCTTGTGGCATTCCTAAATTTTAGATAGGGTTTAAAAAAAAAAAAATGTCTTGAAAGGGTAAGATCCCTAAACGAAAACCCAAAAAAGGACTTACTAAGGAAGTGCATGCTCAACACACTGCAGAGAGGATTATAGTCTCCCATGCAACAATAACGTGTTATTTTAATGACTCTTAACAACCAGTCAAACAGAGGCTTCATTACAGCTACAGCTAAGTAGCATGGAGGTACATGGAGTTGCAGGTTTCTAAGGGGAATACTTCTATGAAAACAGGCTGAGGGAGCCAAGCTTGTTCAGCTGGGAGATGAGAAGGCTACATACAGGGAGACCGTCTTTTGGTACTTGAAGGGAGCTTATGAACATGAAGGAGACTGCTTTTTTACATGGGCATGTAGCAATAGAACAAGAGGGAATTACTTCAAATTGAAAGAGTGGAAATTTAGGTTAGACATTAGGATGAGATTCTTTGCTCAGAGGTCGGTGAGGGCTGGCACAGCTGCCTGGAGAAGCTGTGGTGCCCCATCCCTGGAGGCGCTCAAGGCCAGGTTGGATGGGGCCCTGGGCAGCTGAGCTGGTGGGGGGCAGCCCTGCCCATGGCAGGGGCTGGGTGAGCTGTGAGGTTCCTTCCAACCCAAGGCATTCTGTGATTCCATGATTAAGGAAAAAAAAAACAACCAAAAACCAATATAAAATAAACAGCAAATGTAACTCTAGCATAATAGATACATCTACCATAAAACACACACACACACACAATGAATTAACTGGAATCATCAACAGCAAAAATAATTTATAGTTTAAGATGATTCTTCATTCTTCTTCATTCTCTTGTTTTATGACTGCCAAAGACAACTTTAATCATACAGAAATATGAAAAGGTAAAATAAACTCACTCTGTCCTTCAAGGTGCTATTCTAATAACACTATCATGCAGTGACTAAACAATGGCCAGTCACTTCTTTGTTTTGTATGCTTGCCCTGCAAATAATCATAATGTCATGCAGCACTCAAGACCCTCCAAAATTATAAAGATAAGTGATACAGCCAACCACAGAAAACTCATATGTGTGCATAACCCTTGTATAAAAGTAGTAACTCTAATAACTCCAATCAGGCACATCAATGCAAAGCAGGTGTTTGCAGAACTGAGGCTTGTGTTACAGGAGATACATGCAACTCCTGAACTCCTGAGTTGTTAGGGTGTTTGCATTAGAAATTAGTAAGAGCATGTTTGTAATAGAAAACCTTTATACAGTCATAACAAAGTGTTCTGCTTGCTCCAGCTGTTAGCATACTGTGCTACTCCATCGTTTTCTATCATAAGCAATGCAAATCAAGCTGGAATTGAAGTGAAAGCCCTTCAGGCCCTCTGCCACTCCCCTTCTCACGAGGATCCCTAGTGCCTTTCATTTACAAGCCCCAAAGCTTCCCAGATTCACAACAGGGTCAGACAAACAGCACAGTATTAATTACTCACAGCATGAATTTGAAATGCAAGCAGCTCCAGAAAAACAACCCCTTCCGCGGACAAACCCAACTGGGACAGCGCGTTTCCCCTACTGCCAATGGCCAAGCACACCAACACCCTGCCCCAACACCCCCTGCAGCACCACAGAGAGCCCCAGAAGGCGGCATCGCGACTCGACAGGGCAGCACCGCTCAGCCGGCCGGGGACAGAGAGCAGAGCGGCAGCCGAAGGGTCGGCAGCCCGCGCGCTCACCTGGCAGGTACTCCGCCTCGAAGCGCCGCCTCGTCTCTGCGATCAGCGCAGCTTTGTCCTGCTGCTGCGAACGAGAAAACGGCAGGACATGAAAGGGCCCAGCGCAACCCCTCAACACCCTCACACACAGAGCCAGTCCCCCCACCGCCTCTCCGTCCCCCACCTGCACTCCAACCCACCCGCGCGAGGGCCGCCAGAAAACAGGGGAGAGCGCGGGGCGCGAGGGGAGCACTCACGTCAGCCATGGTGCGGCGGGGCCGCCCGTGACGGCCGCGACAACTGCAGGGAGACAGGAAGAAAAGACGATGGAGGCGCCGCGTGACCCGGGAGGCGTGGCCAATGGGGAGTGGGCGTGACCATACGCCCATCCCGGCAGCGGGAGTCGGGCGCTCAGTAGCCCCGCCCCTTAGCGTCATGGCTGCGCCTTCCTACGCCCCGCTTCCTCTCCCGTCATGCGCTGCGTGGCGCGAGTTTCGGAGGGGCGCGGATTGCCTTCGCTTCCGTCCTGTGTTGCTTTCCTCGTCCCGTCATGTCCGGCACTGCGGCGCGGGCAGGTGGGTGAAGCCCCGCAGGCCGGGTCTTCCCGTGGTGGCTTGTGTGGGTGGGTCCCTTTAGGCGGGGGCGGCGTAGCAGTGCGGTCAGCGTTAATTTTGCTACTGTGCTGCTGGGCTGGCTGCTGGCGGGCCGTAACTTAACCCGTTAGTTGCTATGGAAGTCTTTTGGCGCACCGTTGCCTTACGCCTTCCCCATCTATGTTACTGAAGCACTATTGGCTTTGTATTCTCGCTTAGTCTGCGTCATTGCTTTGTGATATGGCGTTTTCCTTGAGGATTAACGCAGCTGCTTGCAAAGCGTTTTACTTTTTGTTCTGCTTTCGTTTTGCAGGGGGAGAGCTTATAGCTGGGCTAAACCTGACAGGAATGGAGAGGTATAGAGTTTTCTTGTAGGGGAATGCACGTACAGAGGAATAAAGATGCTTTTGAGTGAGCCACAGCACGTCTTGTCCTACAATGGAGAGCTTCTCGTCTTCCAGCTGTCGAAAACAAAGCACGTGGAGGGAGCAGCTGACAAAACAGTGAAGCTGTGTGTCAGGAGGATGGCATTTGACAGAGACGCTCAGCTGTTTGTTCAGATGTCCTCCGGAGCGTTTAGCATGCGCACAAAGCACTCAGAAACTGAAATCGTTTGCTGCGACTGCGCCACACATTCCAAAACAGGGATTGTTCTTCCCTGTGTTTTGATGAAAGTGAAAAAGCAGGACGGCGTTTTCGAGCACCTTTTACTGTTGCTTCATAGCTCTGACCGGTTTGAGCAGTGCTGTCATTTTAAATTGGATTATGAGCTGAAAGAGGATGTCAGGTTGTTTGCTGGCCCCTCGGTGCTATGGAGGCGTGCCAACAAGCTGTTCTACATCTCTTCTGATACCTGCACGGTTCTGACCGCTCCTGTTCAACTTTCTTCAGTTGTGTGGACAGGGGAAATTGAAGGTGAAGGCACTGTTGTGTTAGGGATCAGAGCTGCTTGCCTGCCTGAGAGTGAAGATGGGGATGAGTTTTGCACTTCAGATAGAGCCATCTGGGGCAGTGAGTTCTTTGGATATGCAATTGAAATGCAGAAAATGCTGACTGGTACATGCTTTATGCCTCATGCTTACAGCAGGGTAGTATCTTCTATCTGTGTCTGCAAGAGTGAGAGACTGAAAAAACAACTCAGAATATCAGTTGTTGCCATCACAAACAAGAATCAACTGATCTGGTTCCAAGATGGTGTCCCTAAAGGTGTTTGTGAGCTTCCTTATGAAAAATCATGTTTAATAAAAACTGCTGTAACCAGTAGCAATGATTTGCTATTTATTGTATCTTTTTCATCTGGGAATGTATGTGTTGTACGGAGAGAGAACTTGCAGGTATTTATGCCTTAAGTAGCTACCTTTTCCTACTGCATCTTTTTTGTTTCTATCCTTCTTTCCGAAGTGAGAAGCTACATGTTCAAGATTTATTGCTTTTTGTCTTTCCCATCAACTTCTGATAAAATAACCTGGCTTAAGTATAAGTTTTTAGGGGGAAGATTTTCACTCAGAGGTTGGTGACGCACTGGAACAGGTTGCCCAAGGAGGTTGTGGATGTCCCATCCCTGGAAACATTTGAGGCCAGGCTGGATGTGGCTCTGGGCAGCCTAGTGTGGTGGATGGCAACCCTGCAAATAGCAGGGGGGTTGAAACTTGATGAGCATTGTAGTCCTTTTCAACCCAGGCCATTCTATGATATCCTGTGATTCAGTATATACTTTTTTTTCCTTTCACTTCTCTCTTATATACTTGAAAATAAATCTAATGTCTAGTGCTACATTTTATGAGTCTGATGTGTAGATTCTACTGAAAACAAAATCAACAATATGAGAATTTTAAGCTTAAGACAGATATGAATGTGCTTGTGAAATTTAGGTTAAAATCATAGTTAACTTATTATTTTAAAGCATAAACTTCTTGGAATTGATAAGCTTTTGGAGTTTTCTCTCTCTGTGTCAAAAAACATTATTTCACAGAAATGACAAGGAGATCCTCACTTTATTTTTCCTTAAGTATGTAGGGGCAGAATTAAGTGCTAGGTTTTTGTAATGCTCTGTCAAGAAGACGCAGTGGAAATGAAATCTTGTCTTATCTGAAAGGCAAACTTCATCTTAACAAGATCACATGCAAGATTCCAAATACATATGTTTTAAAAGCTCTTCTACTGCAGGTTACTTCCAAATGGCAGAAGGTGAAGTCTGTTCTGGTAGATGACTTTATTGGTTCTGGAACTGAGCAACTGCTACTGCTGTTTAATGATGAATCCAATACAGATGTGTTAAATATGTTTAAAATAATGGACTTTGGAAAGATAAACTATGAAGTAAGTTCAATTTGCCTTTTCTCAGCTGTTCAGTCTGTGCGTTTAAAAAAAAAAAAAAAAAAAGAAAAAAAACCTTGAGAAATGATTAAAGCAGTGGTGCTAAGTGAAATTGGATGTCTGTTGTGAAATGCCCTGAAGTTTGAATATAATTGAGTATAATACTCTCTGTTTGAATAATGACATAAATTATCTGGAGCGATTATTCTACTTTCTGGATAGTATCAGCATCCTTCTGGGAGTACGGTTGAAGATGCTTCAGATACAGATCTTTTGTAATGCTTAGCTTTTATTTAAGAAAATTAAGGTTGTAGTGCATGTTAATTACTGTCTTATAATTGTGTCTTTCTTTTATGTGTTATCAATCCATAACTGCTTTCAGAAGATGAGATTTTTCTTTTAAAATGAACATGGCTATTTTTCTGGTTTCCTCACCTTTTTTTTTTTTTTTTTTTTTTATTAATTATGTTTAGTATCCTGTACCTTACAGTTATCTTTTAAATACTTATACTGCGCTTTTTTTTTTTTTTTTTTTTTTTTTTAGAGTGGTGTTAATTATAAAGACGATGTTCCTGCTGCAGAAGGATTACAAGAGAATGGTTTGCTTACCATCCAAGCTCTTGAAACCAGATTACAGGTCTGTGCTAAATAAATCTGCCTTCATATTTTTCCAAATTAATTTTCTGTATTGTTAGTTTAAAGAGTGAGGTTGATAATGCTATTTTTATTGGAGAAGTGGTGCAGGGAGAAATTAATGTTATTAAGTATCTGTTCTTGAATTGGTGGTTGTCTGTTTCAGTTCATTCGGTTGTTATAAATGCATTTAAATAATTAGAAGAATCTAATTTAATTTTAATTAGATTTTTGTGATAATGCTGAAGCCATCTTACAAAAGCTTTGTAACAGTCATTTTACTCATGATGTTTAAATGCTAGTTTCATAATATTAGAGCATCTATTTCTTTTGCTCAGCATGACGTATTTTGAGATGCCAGGTTGCCAGAGAGTGCTGATGAGTAGCAGCTGTTCCTGGAAGAATGAAGTGTTTCTTTGTCTAGGGACTTCAGTCAAATTGGTTTTAACTTCTATCCAAAATAGTGACCATTGTTATTTTATCACCTGCCAATGTTTTTCTTCCTGATACTGGCAGATTTATTGACATAATATTGCAGTATAGAGTGAATAAAGTTAAAACCCGTATCCTTCTTTTAATTAGCTTTGTATTATCATGCTGGGGAATAATGCATGCTAGAATATGGGCAATCAGTGGGAATATATCATCTGCTAGTGAAACTTGAAGATACAGCCTTCTAGTTTAAGTTCTGTTAGTAAACATCCAGCATGTTCTCCTCGATGTTCTTTGCCACTGTTGTCTGTGTTTACCCTGGTCAAAGTTAGTAGTAACTGACTAAATGAGAAGATTATTGAAAACAAACAAAAGACTAATGACTTCTGAAGACAGCATAAATCATGGATTAAGTCAATGTAAGAATTACTCTATTTGAAGTGTTTTAACTATGTAATAGGAGGTGATTATTCTGTTCATTTCTGAATTAGTGAGAACTTTAGTGTATGGTGCTAGTTTGATCTGTAGCCTTTAAGAGGAAGGAATTTGGCCAGCAAAAGTTTGGTTTATTACTGAAAGAAAAGGAGGATTATGGTCCATTAGGTAAACCACTGAAAAAGGAAAGAAAAAAAAAAAATCTTCTAATGACAAATGAGATATGTAGAGATACTATACATCTTCTGAAGGATAGAAGCTGTTATTTAGAGAATAGAGAACAATAGATTTATCTTTCCTGGAAGTGAGAAGAAAACAGTTAGGTTAATTTTGAGAACCTCTAGGTCCCTTGCAGCCTTAAATTTGTTTTATTTTATCTATTTACTTATTTACAGTTCTTCACCTTGCTCACTAGATAAAGGTCTATTGGTTTTTACATGCAGAAGTGCAAGTTTCCTTCACAATTCATTACTTTCTACCCGTGACTTGTATAGTTATATACCTTAAACATGATTTTTTTTTTGCTTCCGTATTCTTTCCTTATTTATCCTTCAGTATAGGTAACTTCAATAGTTTCCATCTCTTATTTTTTCTCCTTCCACTTTCGTTGTGAAGATTGCCTGCCCTGCCGCTGAGTGCTAAACGTTTTATGTAACTTGTCTTCTGATTTTCTCCTCTTATACACGGGCTGGCTTTCTGCTTTACAGCTTTTTGAATATGCGTTGCAATCAAATGAATACTCTGTATTGTGCAGTCTATTGATTTTGATAGAAGCAAGCCACTGACTGGAGATCTTATGTATCAGCTGCTGATAAAGTCCTTCTGATGGAGACACAGAATCCTTCATAAGTCTTTTTTTTCCCCTCGATTTCTTTCAGACGTAGTAGTTCTCTCATTTTCCAAGTCACATGCTAACCCAGGCACTGTAAGAATATTGAAAATCCTCTTATTTTTTAATGCTTAAAATCTTTGATATTGCCATGGCAATGAATTTTGGAAGTAGGTGTAGATATGATTTTTAGCCTTAATATTGCAATGTTGCTTCCTTGCTGAGATCTCTGTTCTGCTGTATGTGTCTCTGAATAGTAAAGTACTGTTGCCTTTTTGTTATCTGATGTAACTGAATTTCAGAGATGTTCTTGTGTTTTTGTTCCTGCTTATCTTGGAAATTTCCAAAAGTGATGAGTTGTTTTGTCACCAAAATTCAAGTTGTCATGTGTTCACAACCTCTGCAGTATCTCCTATTTTAGGGCAAAGAGAAATAGCAAATGCAATGTTTTTCCATACCTCTGTTGCTACCCCATAAAACATTTTATGCCTGCGTGGTTGTTTTTTACCCACGTCAGAGCTTTGGTAGGTGTTACAATCCACTACACTGAAATAGGCTGCATTTAACTCATTTGCAGTAGTGCGTGTAAGTTGCGTGTTGCAGATAGTGAAACGCAAGAATCTGTCAGTTTGTGTATTTTTGGAACTGCTCTGTGTTTATCATGTATCTGGTCTTAAGCTACTGCCCGCAGCCTTTATGCCTCAGATTATTTTCCTTAATGATCGTCTCGCTATCTTCTGAAGAGAACTTTCTTTGGCAGAGTAGTGCAGCTACACTGTATCTGTGGTTACAGTGTTTCTCATGGTTTTATTCGCTGTTCTGACGTAAATACAGGACTGTTCAACATCAACTGCTGAAAGTTTAGCAAGAATTATAGTGCCAGGCTCTCGATTAATTCTTTTTCCTTTCACTTGGCTTGCCTGTTTTAGGGCATTGTGTTTGTTTGTTGTTTAAGTTTTTTTTTGGGGGGGGAAGGGGAGTGGTTGGATTGTGTGGCTTTTTCCACTATCATTTATTGAATTGAGAATTTATTTGTTCCCATTCTGACGATGTTGTGGTGGTGGGTGGGAAGTTATTCAAGAAATGTTCTGTACATTTTATTTTTAAAACTTAGATTAGGAACAGTAACAAACAGTTGTTTTCTGTACAACCTTTGTACAGAATCTACAATTTTGTAGATTGAGTTTTTTGATACTTTTTCAAAAAAGATTTCGGTTGCTTGGAAACCACAGAGACTTTTAATAAAAGAGCAGCTTCAGACTCTAGATATCTGGATTATGTTTTCCTTTAGCATTTTTGTCTACTTTCACTGTTTCATCTTTGCTTTTGGTGGTAGTTCTAGTCCTGCCTATTGTAAATCTTCCTTTCCATTTTCTGCCCTTTGCAAAAAGTTCTTGGCTTAGTATTTTTAGCTTTGTATGTATGAGTATTGTTTTATTTATGAATATTGTAAGTTTAATTGCAATGTGTCAAAGCACTGTCCTACTTCCTACTAAGCCTCCACTTTAATTTGCTTTCTGACAGTGATTCATCCATTGTACTGTCTGTGCTGAATTTTCTCTCAGCTTTGTTTGTTCAGCTCTATATTATGGTGTTTTAAACTGGATGTTTATTTTCTGTTTTTAAAATGATTCACTTTTATTTTCTGTTTCATGGTGCAAAGAGTGTGACTTCTACAATTGCTTGTTACTTGGTACATCTTGGGTATGGATCTAAGGGTGTACGTTTTCCTTGTTCCAGTAGCAGTGACAGAGTGTTACTCTAGTTTTTGCCATGTGATAAATTTCAGTTGTCATTCTTCTGTTGCTTTATGAAGGGGGAAAAAGGTGCTTGCAAAAGTCACACTGGAGAGCAATTGAATCAATCAGTAGATCTTCGGCTATTTTGACTGCTTCTCTGTATGTACTTTCCTTCTTGTTTTTCTTCTGTACCTGAGTTTCTTACTTGGGAGTTTCAAATAGGAGTAAGTAATGGTTTGGTATTCTGTGGACTGCAGTTAGGAAGAGATTGTAGAAATACAAAATGATAGAATCATAGAATGGTTTGGGTTGCAAGGGACTTTTAGGATCATCTAGTTCCATCCCCCCCTGCTAGAGGCAGGGACACTTCCCTTTAGACCAGGTTGCTCAAAGTCCCATCCAACCTGGCCTTGAATGCTTCCAGAGGGCGGCACCCACAACCTCTCTGGTTCAGTGTCTCACCACCCTCACAGTAAAGAATTTCTTCCTAATATCAAGTCTAAATCTCTTCTCTTTCAGTTTCAAACTATTTCCCCTTGTCCTGTCGCTACGTGCCCTCATAAAAAGTCTCTTCCCATCTTTGTTCTTTATTCTTAACTGTTTCTTCTCCTGCCAGTTCTGGCACGGAAGTATTTCATGGAGTCTGGTATTTGTGATGCTTGGTTTGATAGGTGGCTAATAATTTTGATAGAGAATTTATCATGGTGGGTTCCATTTCCTCTGAATGCCCTTTGCTCTTGCATCATGAGCAAATGACATTACTCCTTTTATTTCGCATATCTTTCATTCTGGCTTGTCATTTGGTGATGACTGAATCTGATGTCTTTTTTTATTTGTTTATTAGTTTAGAGGTTGTTTTTCCTTTCCAATGATAGGCTTTGTTCTCCCCTCTCTTGTTGTTGACAGTAACAGACTTCTCAGGAACTTAATTCCCAGAGTATACTTTTTGAAGAATATTTTAAAGTATAATAACCTAATCCTTGGAACTTGTCTACGTACTTGACTGTCTGTAAGACAGAAAACAGTCAACATTTCAATGTCTTGAAAAAAAAAATAATAAATAATGTTAATACTAAAATAAAGCAGAAACAATATTGAGAGAGTTGAATATCTACATAAACATCTAATGTGAATATTCTCAAATTAAGATAAACTTGGAGTTTAATACTGAGAGAACAAGATTCTTAGTTTTGTATTTTGGCAGCAGAGTAACCTGACTTGAACAATTTTTAGAAGCATTATTTCAGGAACATCAGAAATTGGATTGTGATCCTTGCATAAAATGGAAAGTTGAGGATTATCTTGGTAGCTTTGATACCAGTTATTATTTGCAGTAGACTACAGACTGTGTCCAATGGCGACTTTTATATTTTACAGGCTGGTCTCACCTCTGTTCGAGAGCTACAGCAGCATTTACAACTCAAAAAGAGGGTTATTCTTGAATCATGCAGAGCACTAATAGATCTAGTTGAAGGAAGAAGCCATATTCTACCAAGTGCAAAAAAGGTAAAAAGCAACACTTTTTTTTTCTTTTTGCTATTTTTACCAGTCGAAATTGCCTCTATCAAAAGTCATTAATTAGCTTTAAACAAAGTCTGATTCATTATTTTAAACTGACAGTTTATATAGTTAAGAGTAAATTTAATTTTTTCCTTGAAATTGATCTACACCGTACCTCCTGGTGACTGGTTTGTACGTGGAAGTAACCTTTAACAGTAAGTTAATGACCAACAGTAGGAGGATTGTATTGTATTAATTGGTACAGTTACCTGTATATCAAATACCTGTCTCTAATATGATAGAAAGAATGAGCAGTGATTTCTGTAAGCAGAGTTTATTTTAGAATGTGGCAGAGGGAACTGTGAGCTGAAAAGGTGACAGAGTTTGGGCAAATGTTATAACTGTATGCTTCTTAAACTAAGACTCATAGTTACTTGAAATCTATTTGATCTTTCAGTATCCTTCAAGTCAACCAGGTTTAGGCAGCAAAATTTTAAGCAATTAATAATATAACTTCTAATGCCTTCTTTGGAAGAAAATGTGTGCAAAGAGGGGATGAGTTGTTTGTTATGATAGTTTTTGTTTTAAGAAAATGGATTTATATCTCTTAAATCTATTCTAGAGAGTAAACTAGTTTGTACAGATTTCATTTAATGTAGTAGATTTTATAGTAGAACATGAAGTAATGCTGTATAAAAAGAACTGATATCTGCACTTAATTGATCTAAACAAACATTTTTCTGTAAGGAAGGCCTTGTCAGTCTCTGGGATGATGTGAAAGAACCTTATTCTGTTAGCGAAGAGCCATCATTGACACCTAAACTTCAAGGTCACTTCATAGAGAAATTGTGGCAACGTGTTGTGGGTGACAACTTGGTAGTTGGAGTAAAACTAACTGAATCATTTTGTTTGTAAGTACATAGATAAAATATTTTCATTTTGCAGTTTAATAGAAGTTGAGATTGCAAGTAAAGCCCTGCAGTAAAAAGAGTGGATTTTTGAGATTTGACTTTTCTTATTTCAACATCTGTGTATGAAGTATTTCAAGTGCATTTTGCCAGTATTGTTGCTGTGACATGTCTCTCTAGTGCTGTGCCAAAAATATATAATCTAGGCAAAAATCAGCTGCATCAACATAACTACATCATTACTGGAGGCATTTATAACAGAACTTTCACTGACAAAAATTATGGTTCTTTGTAGTTCACATGAGCATAGGTATACTGACATCAGTGTGTGGTGTAGATTTAGCTCTGTTCTAACTGTACTGTTCCTGCTGCCTAAGCATCAGTATCTCACCATTCATAGAATGATTTCCTTAAAAAGTAGAATAAAACATTTTTAATTCTCTGATCGACTTACCTATATTCAGCTATGCTGTAGTCAGATATCAAATCGAGTATTTTCTGAGCCTATGCATTATATAAATTACATGGAACAAGCAGGCTTAAAATATTCGAAGCTTCAAAAAGATTTTTCTCGTTATTATCCTTAAAGTGATTTGTTTATTCTGCTCATTTCAGTTGCTTAGTTCTAGTCATGATTACTAGTGATGTTATTCCCCCATTGATGAGGGAGCTTATTTGGAGTACATTTTGAAAGCACAGACAACAGAAAAAACTTATTATAGACAGTATGTAATGTAAACTTTGGTAGAGTTAGAAGTTACTTTTTGACCTATACTCCCACGAGCATTGTAGCTGACACTGTGTTAAGGTAAGCTTAAGAGTACTGATTGCCTCTGAAAATCATTCAAGTGAGTGTGAGGGAACTGACCTCTCCAGGCCCTTTGGTTGTTCTGCTAGAACTGTAGGTGTATTATTTCACAACTACCAGCTTGCTATAACTTTACAAGGAAGCTGACCTTGTCTTCTTGACGGCCTCTGTTAAGAGCTACCAAGGCAAAAGACTGTTTTTGCCTTTCCACTGTTTATTCTTTTAGCTTTGATGACAGTGACTTTATTTTTGAAAATGAAACACCTAATTCCTCTGTATCTTCAGAAGTCCTGAGAAGATTTTGAACTACTTTTTAAAAACCAGCAGCAACCTTGCCCTGTTTTTCAGTTTTATAGTTGAGAACCGATCCATGAAAATCAAGTCATTTGTGAAAGGTTACCTCATAGGCTAGCAACAGAAGGATGTAATAGGTTGTAGTAGGCTCCAGGAGCACAGGGTTGTGGGCCTGTGGTTTTTCAGAAAAGTGCTTGCTTTATTTTCAACTCCATTGTGGAGGTTTTCGTTGACTATTTTTGGGCTTCCTGCTAATGCAAGATTATATTGATGTTTTAGATTACACTGTGAGGTGATGATATTTCCCATAAAGGAATCTGAATGTTTGTATGACTTCAGTTGTCAGTGACATCTTGAGATTGAGTTAATTGTTAGAGTAAATTGTTCACTGAGAGAAGATGTGAACAGTACTACTGGGATTTCACAGAAGAATCATGTGTTGAATGAACAAAACGCCTTTCAGAAAATTACTTCATGTTTAAGGAAACCATATTTTAAACCTTTTATTTTACTTTCTGCATGCACTTCTGTTTGAATACCTAAAAAACAGTGTGAATACTACAAGAACTTTTAGTTCTCAAACAGGCAGAATTTTTACTTTCTGTAGTCCTTTTTTATTAATTTTATTTTAATAATAATAATAATAAGTCTTTAAAAATGAAATGCAGATGTCATAGAGTATCTGCAAGGGTTGTATTGAGTGTTCAACATTTTCTGAGTGAATTAAATGTCCAAATTATTTCAGTTAATGCGAGGGATCTAATTCCTAGGAGCTCTTAATACAAATGACTATTTCATCTAAGATTATAAGTACTTACACACTACATGGTATCTGAATTAACTTGGAATAGTATTGGAGTTTGTAGTAGTCCTAAATATTGTAAAGTACTGTTTTTTCGTTTTTTTATCAAAAAGCAAAATGCAAACTGGGAGTGCATTCATCTTATGTGGATTTTCACAGGTCAGTGCGTGATATCAGTTTGTCGTTAGTGATGGATCAAGACTTCTCTTTGATGTCTCCAATTATTGAGTGTCAGAATAAAATCATTAAGGTGAACGAAGTCTTCTCAGCATTATCTGTCTCCTCGTGTCAAATTGAGCCCCCTCAGAAAAAGATGAAATTGGACTTGCGTAACAAGAATGATCTGAAAAAAGATTTTCATAAGAGATGTTCTAGGACTCAGCTGGGTAAAACAAATACTGTCACTGCTGTTACCAACCTTTCACCACTACTGGCATTTCATCGTGTTTGTTGCACAGTTATACTACATGCAAAGAAACAAAAACATCGGAATGGTGATTTTCTGAAGAGCAAAAGCATAACTTTACTCTGTGGGAAAATTTTGCTGAGTCTGGAAGATATTTCAAATGGGAAATATTCAGTAAATATGCTCAAGGATAATAGTTACTGTACAGGTAAATTGATTGATGGAGTTTGGATTCATGAAGATGTTGTTGATTGTTTTTTCTGGATGAGATTAATCTACATTTTCAGGGTGTAATTATGTTTCTTTCTTTGAACTCAATACATGCAGACTTCTGAATTAAAAGCTGGGTGAAGCAGAAAGCAGAAGAACCATTTATTTTAAATAAAAAAAAAAAAATTGAAACTTGCTATAAGATTTTACAGTAATGGTGCTGAAGTGCATCAAGAGGTTAATTTTGAAGGTAAATCTGAATACAGATATAGCTTGTTTTTTCCTACAAGTAAGGTAATTACTGTTGATTAGATAACATTTATTTTTCCTGACTTAGTATTACTATTTTTTAAGTAATACCAAAGTAACTGAAGCTTTTCCTCATCTGCACAGCTATTGAGTTCCACTATATCTTTTTTTCTTTTTAAGTTCCTGGTTGAACTGATTTTGAACTGGGTTTCTGCTAACGTAGTGAAATGTCCTTTTGATCATTTGCTACGAATTTTAATTTCTTCCTTTAATGCCATATCATCAGCTAACACCAAATGCCATCTTAATGTCACAGGAGGCTATTAATAGTGTTCCCTTGGCAAGGTGACATTTATCTTTACAGCTCTCTTATTATATAGTTGCAGCTTTGTTAATCAGGTAGCCATTTTGCTCAACAGAAGTAGGTGTAAGAATATTTGTGAGAAGAAAGTTTCCAAAGAAAACATTGAATGCAGGTACAGACTGCAAGTAACAACGAGAGCGTGAATCAAAAATGTATTCACACATTCTACATTAAACCTGATCAAAGTATTTAGGTTAAGTATCTTTATGATTATTATTTTCTTGCAGGTTCCACGGAAGACATAGTTGCTATCCTTGCAGTATCGATCAGATTTTCCTTTCAGATTGTGTCTTCTGAATGCACATTGACTCAAGTAAATTCATGGCTACTTGGAGAAATGGACTGTGTTCCATTTAAGGAATGCCATGACATGGTATTCTCTCATAAAGCAGGAAACATCTATGGTACAGTCTTTAGCTGGACACTGAAAAGTCCATTTGAAGGAGTTCTAACGCTATTTTGCAGGTAAAATTGGTCAAAAGTTTTACAGAATATTCTTCTTATGCTCATGCCATTATCTTCATGTTGTCTCTTACAGGCATCATAGCCAACAGCGATACTTCTGATATGAGAATGTCAGAGCATGAATTGTCATGTAATTTTGTGCTTATACACTGAATTCCAAACAACTGCAGGCCCCTTTAATAGACACTTGGTACCATTTTGTTCATTCGTTTCAATGCATAGTAATTTCATATTTTTTCTTAATATGTTTTTTCAACACCTGTTGATTGTTTTTAACAAAAATGAGCTAGACAATTTGAATTGCATTCTTTGTCATTTTTAGTTTAGTAATGCAACATGCATTTAGTCTAACTTGTACAATTTTTTCTGATAAACTTTATTTTCTATCTACCATTATATTGAAGAGGAAATAATCTGAAGAATCTCAGTTATTTTCTTATCTAGATTGTCAAACTGTTGGGATAAAATGATGTACATCAGGTAAACAAGATAGAAATACTTCCGTCATTTATGATTTAGCTGGATTACGCTACTGTGAGAAGAGATTTTCAAGTACTGATAAAGTTTTCTTTTCCTAAGGAGTTCAAGCTAAAACAAAAAAAATATATATACATATATACATACATATATACATATATACATACATACATATATACATACATATATATATAAAATAAAGTAAGTTAGGAATCCCTAACTAATAGTAAAAGATAAAACTTTGTTCAATTAAGAATTGGTTGCCTCTCATGTAAGAGCAAAGAGTAATGTTTTTAAAACTCAAGACTTGTAGAAACTTCCTTTTGGAAACTTAGTTTGCTTGATATTCATTTTCAATTTGACTTAACATCGATACTTAATGAGCTGTATATTTATACTTGTGTTTTCAGTGTTGTTTTTTTTCCCCCTTCATTGGGTCAATCTTTTTCTGGTAGATTATTTCTCTGACAGATTGAAGGTCTACTGACAATTTTTTTCATTCAAAATTTTTCATTCAGAAATGAAATAATCTACATCTGTGATAAGTAGTGGAAAATTAAGATAAGTAAATTGCAATAGAAAAGCTTTACTGATCAGTGTGAGAAAACTAGCTACTTAGGGATGTGTTGTGGTTTGAAGAGTTAATCATCTCAAGAGAAGGGGGATGAAGGAAGAGGAAGAAACCCAGTTGAGATAGGAGAAACTAGTTTATTAAGAGGAATGTGAGATAACACAGAATAATTAAGAATAATAAATCCAGTGAACCAAAAATAAACTGGAGGAAAGAGTCAATCTAAGTTCTTATTGATGGGCCTTCACCAACTGGTGTCCCAGAAAAGATAAGAGAACTTCTTCCTCACCCAGAATCAGGAGATCACATCTCCCAAGGCTGGAAGTAGCATGAAATACCTGAGTCTGTTGGAAGCACAGCACACAGGAAGTGCATCCAGATCTGAGCTTAAGCATCAGGGCAGCCTGCCATATGATACCATGATATAGAATACTGACAAAAACTGGACAGGATGCTCTTTCTTTTTGTCCTTTTTTTTTTTTTTCCTTGGACATGATTTTTTAGGACATCTTCTGAAGAGCTAATTTGGCCAAACAGAGGAAATAGGACTTTGGACAAATTGTGTTTCTCTTAGAATGAATGCTGGTCTGTCAATGCATCATGCTGGCGTCTGGGGCAATAGGTTCCCTGTGATGAATGCCAGCATTATTTTATCCAGGGTTCTTAATTTGAACATCTAATTGTTTTTAAGCACAATACTTCCTCGCTAGTGGCTGTTCAAAAAAGACCAGCAATTAGCCACCTAGTATCTCTGCAGTGCATATCTGTTGATGGTGACAAAATATGAACGCATCTTTTTTTCTGCCCCTGAATGCATACTTAGGCAACTTGGTGTTATCACGATATTTTTACATACAATGAATTGTTTCTTAAAGAAGGAAGTGATGCTCACATAACTGGATATGTATCTTAATGTTGAATATTTGTTACTGAAGCAACAGATCTTTTGATACACAGCAGCTAGTCTGCATTCCATTAGAGAATCCTTGTTGGCAGTTATGTGTACTGCATACACAATACTTAAAACCACAAACATCCTAAATTTTCATCGGTTCAGTTTAAAGTAATTTTATTATATTTACCACTACAGAATTTTGAATATGCAACATATCATTAATAATAGTACTCTTATTTTGTAGAAGTCTGACCGTCTTGTTCCAGTGTCTTCATAGCCTTACTAGAGTTCTTCCACCAAGCTGTGATGTAAAACTCCTGAAATCTGGAAGCAAAGGTGTACTTATTGAGCAGTTAGCACTGGCTTTGGAAAAAGAAATGTTCACTTCAAGGAGTTTCCTCTCCTCAAAAGAAAGTAAAGCTGAAAACAACTTGACAAGGTGGAATGAGCCTGGTGGGAAAATCAGTGATCCTTCTGTGGCTTCTTTACTGGACAGTGAGGATGGTGTTCAGCATTTCAGAGAGAAGCTTCAAAATGAGCGGGAACAGTGTGTGCTAAGTATGAATGAAATGATGGATGGTACCCTCTACCAGAAAATGGCTTTGAAAGTAGCAGAAGCTCAGCTCAGTTCTGATATGATTGTGTGGAGATTGAGCAAATCCTAGAAAATTATCTAAATTTATTTTGAATAAAGATTTAATAAAATTGTAATATAAATATTTTATATTCTCATATATCACTTTTTATTTTATAGCTCAGGTATTTTTAAAGATAATTAACAGTATTTTTGTTGTTGACTTATAGCTGGTTCAGCAAAAGTTAAAAATAGCAGTCATTACTTAGTTACAGATTTCTGAATTATACTTTAAGGTACTTTTCTAATAAATATTTGAAACTTACAATTCTTGATCTTTGAATGAAATACATTAGACAAGAAAAAAATATGTGTGTAAAATGGTTCTATTGACTTCTACAAGAGCTATCAACACAGACAACACTGTTTATTTGTTGCTTTTTTTTTTTTTTTTTTTTTTTTTCTCTAATTGTAAGACTAAGCCATAGGAATTATCTAAGTTAGAGGCCACCCTTGGATTTGAGACATTGTGGAGTATGCACTGGGGCTGGAGAAACTAGATTAAGCCTTTTACAAAATTCCATGAACTCTTGAACGTTCATCCTTGTAATCGTGCTTTTAAATTAAAGACCATGGAAAGGCTAATTTGCTTAGTAAATCCTGGACAAATCTCTCTTTCCTTGAAACTTAATCCAACTTCAAAGGTGGAACAATTGTTTGCTTGTTCCTTGAGTTACAAATGCTTATCCGTTGATATTAGCTGCTCAGTACTTTGGACCTATCCTCAACTACTGTAAGTAATGAGCAACTCCTTGCCTGTTTCGCTTTAGTTCTGGTGACAAGATAGTATATGTGTATCCCAGAAAAGAGTAGTTACTTTTTATCTTTCTTTTTTCTCCATCATAGGTATATTTTTTTTTCTCAGCTTTGCAAGTAATAGAAGGCTTGGAAAATCACAAATCACAATATTTTGTTTCCTTTTATCTCTGCTTTATGCGAGCATAATCATAGTGTTTGTCACCTTTTGTTCAAAAGTTGTCAAACAGTTTGCTGCAAATAAAGTTTTAATAGTTAACAGCTTGTACTCTGACAATAGGAGTTTGACTTGAAGAATGAAAGATCTACCAATTCACAGGAACATTCCTCAAGAACTGAGTTGTTTTTATTGTTGTTTTTGTTTGGTTTTTGTTTGTTTGTTTTGCCAAGAGTTCCTGTCATGATTTAACCCAGAAGGCAACTAAGCACAACAGACCATTTCATTTACTCCCACCCAGTGGGGGGAATGGAGAGATATGATTTTTAAAGTGTAACAAGTGGATTGAGATGAAGACAGTAAGACAGAAAATAAATGCAAAATATTAGTAATGGTAATAACAGGGGTAGATCTGCAAAACAAGTGATGCACAATGCAATTGCTCATCACCTGGCTGACTTATGCCTAGCCAGTTCCCAAGCAGTGGCTGAACCTGCAGGCAATGCCTCCTCTTATTGTTCTGCTTGATGTCTTGTAATGTGAGATGTCCCTCTGGCCAGTTTGGGTCACCTCTTCCAATTCTGATCCCCACCACCTCTTCACCTCCAGCCCCCTTACTGTCAGGGCAATGAAGAAGCTGAAATGTGCTTGATTTAGCATAAGTATTGCTCAGCACCAATTAAAACATCAAAGAGTTATCTACATGTTTTTTTCTCCTAAATCCTAAACATGGCATCAACCCAGACACAGTAAAGAAAATTAACTCTTATCTTAGCTGAAATCACGACAGTGCCTTAAGAAATTAAACTCTGTGTTTACTGGATGAGACAGAATGATTTGAAAAAAACAAGCCACCAAACAAAGGCATTTTTTGTTAAGCTGCACTTATGTTCAGTCCACAGTCAGAGCTAAGAGCTCATTGTCAGAACTTGGCAATCAGTTGTCACTGGAATTCCCAGGGTAACATTCCTAATTTTAAGCAGCTACAGGTAGAAATCTCAAAACCATAGCTTGCAGTTAAAATCTTGGTAAACCAGCTGAGAAGGAACTTTCAAAGCAATAAAACTATAATTCATCTCCAGGTACTTGAAGGAGTTTGTGCAAAGTTGTGGAAACAGTTCAGCCATTGATTTTTAGGAGAAAGCAAGGTGTCACATAGTAGCATTGCTATGTGTTCCTCTCTAAAGAGAAATTTTCGTTCGTATTTCCATCCATCACTTGGCAGAACTAGCAGAGTTGACAAAATGAAGAGAAGCTGCTACAGACAAAAGTTGCCAGTTTCTAATTCCATGGGATTGGTACCTTTTGTTATTTAAAAGCAGCACGTAGTTAAATCATGTAATTACATGACTCTTCTTTGCCTGTTAATAACCTATACAACAACATGTTTCTGCTAATGAGTGCTTCCAGAGGCATGAATGCTTAGTTTTCAGATCATCAGATGAAATCATCATAAGCTTTCCCAAGAGACCTCTAAGATTTCTGGGAGTAGTTTCCCAACTCTCTAGTAATAATGCTGCACAACTTCCACTCATAGTGATGCAATCAATAAATTTAATGAATATACATGAGAGATGCCTTTGTGTCCCAAAATCTAAATAAATGCTAGAAATGCCTGGAATGTTTCTGCTGGTTAACTTCTGGGCTAGGAACAATGCAAAAAGTACAGCTGCTCTGAGCAAAAGTGTGCCAAGTTCTCTAGCATCTTCTCATGAAATGGCAGCAATGGGAACATTTTTTTTAGAAATGCTTGATTTCCTGAAGTTGTCTTTTGAAAATAAAAGCAACTAGGGATGTTGGAATTCTATTTCTCTAGCTTGATGATTAATAATTAGACATGTTCTGGTGAAATGTAAAATCCAAATTGCACTAAGAGAATCACTTACAACCTTATAAGGTTATTTCCTTATACTTCTAGCCCATTTTCTGGATTTCTGTATTATGATAACTATGCACACAGTGCTTTTGCTTACACATAATTACTCAGTAGAAGCAACTACTGGGAGGCCAGTGCCAGACCTTCAGAGCTCTGGCTTTGAGATAGGTAGTTCAGGAAGTCTCTCAAAGGACCCTTTGCTTTATCAGGTGTGTATGTATAACCCTGCAGTGTTTTTGTCTTCATATAGCAACCACTACCTGCTTGTGCAATGTCCAAGTTATGCAACATGTTGTTGATACAAGACTGGGTAGTGGCTGTGTGCACCGCCAGCAGACTTGTGGTTTTGGTGGGGGTTTTTTTTTCACACATAAATTTTTGGCAAGATCATCAAATTATGCTCAGATACAACTTGTCTTGACCGCCCAGAAGTCTAGCAAACATAGTTTTTAATTTCTGAAAACCACGAGGTATCAGTGATTTCTACCAGATATCTATGGTTCTCTTTCTGATTAGGGCTGTGGTCAGCATGCAAGGGCTCCATACTAGCTATTTGAAGAGGCTCAATGTGAAAGGGAATCCTTGCTCAGAGCATATGAGCTTTCATGCCTGATTGCATGCTTATATGTCTTATCACTAAAGTCAGCATGATTTAAGGCTGTAAGACAAGGCATTGTGTATCAAATGACTGTTTTCCTAGCCAAGTTGGTATAATAAACAAAATTAATTGTTACAGCAATTTTCTCTGTTGTTCTCAGACCTCTCAGCCAGGGGAGATGTGTCTGTTCTAGAGTAATCTTTGTGGGATAGCAGTATTTCCTTTTTTAAGTGTGTGTATATATACATATACATTTTCTGGATTTTTTTCTGGTAATGAGATCTAAGCCTTCTCTCTCAGATAATAATTAATCTTTTTCCCACGGCTTTTGAAAATTTGGAAACTGTGAGTCTTATGACTGTTCTGAATCATGCTGACTGTGCTAAGACGACAAAATAATAATGCTAGCCTGCTTATCTATGACTGAGCTACTCATTAAAAGCTATTAACAAAGATGATGGGGTCAGCATAAGGAGTATCCAAATAATGGCAGTTTTCTTCTCCTCCCTTCCCTATTTTCCTGGCAGAATTGAAGTTTGAGAGTAGAAGGTAAGTATCAATGCAAGGATAAAGGCATGAGTGTGTGGTGGTTGTTTTTGTTTTGGGGTATGTATGTCTATATGTGTATGCATCTGGAGTTTTTTTGACTGTTTTTACCCAATACTCTGTATGGCTGTGTATTTTAGGCATGCCCCTAGGTGGGAACAAGGTGATCATCTTGGATCAGTAGAAATTTCTACCAAAGGTAATGGCTGTATTGAATACTCCCAGGGGAAAGGCAAATGAGTAGGAGGTTCAGTACCGCTCTTTAATTATCACTTCAAGAAGGTGATACTATTTTGGTATTTTTTATGACCTCAGGTTTCTAGTATGTGACAACCTTACAGCTTTGGTGCATTGAGAAACTCATAATTCACAGGTACATGATGGCAACTAATACTTATAACTAGGTTAGAACAAATACTGCCAAAGGGTTAGGTCTGCAGTAGTGCAATTCCTGCTTGAAATCCAACATTCACAAACCCCTGTTGCTTAACTGTGGTATTTAGGTCAGGTCTGCAGCTTAGTAAAGAAGTCTCATGTTAACTAATTCTTCTCCTCTTGTCTGAGGTTGTCTAAGTGGTGAGGTGGTGAATCATCTGCCCAGCTGCAATCCTTACCTATGCAGACAGGTATAAAGAAAAATGCTTTGTAATGAGTCCTTGAAAACTGCGTGTGCTGCCTCTGTACCTGCCCTCTTCTCTCTCCTCAGAGCCCTAGTTACAATTTTGAGCTGAACATGTGATGTCTTTTATAATCCTAGCTTTGAAACATTCTCAAGCACAAGGAGAAAAACAGAAGCTGCAAAATCTTCCAAAATGTCTGGATGATGGAATTCTGCTATTTCTGCACAGCCTGTACTGTTCTCTCCGTACAAACTCTACCAACTGGCTACTTTGAAAGCCTTCCTTCTTCCCTTTCCCTCTTACTCAAATGCTGAGGACTGAAAAAAAGAGTCTCTTTCGAAATGCAGAGATCAACTTTGCATAGCTTTAACACGTCAGGAGCAAGTGTATTCTCTTTTCCAAAGGATATGAGTTGCAAAGTCAGATAACCTGTAGATAAAGGTCATGTCCCTGATGCAAAGCAAGGCACGGCAAGGCA